AAACCCTAGAAACCCTAAAGCCCTACAGAACAGTTAGCCTAATCCCTACAACTCTATGGAAACGTTCCTTACGATACACCCAAAACCCAAAGGAAAAGCTAGCCCGAAAGCCCGACACTTGACAAAAATAGACAAGATCAACTTAATGAAAGGATCTTATTCTAAAGTCCCCCAAGTTGGACACCGAATATATGCAATCAGCAATACTCCTAAGGAATCCTATAAACACTTACCCAAAACCAACATCAAACGTCTGAACCATAAACCCTACTTCAGTGTGTCTCCTCTGCAAGCTCTTATGCACCTGCGTTGGGTCGACATCGCCCTGAATGATGTTGAGGATGGAAATGTAGACCTAAGCACGGAGTACTGTAGATACGAAAATCCTAAGCCTAAACCCTAAGACCCTAATGTAGGGTATACTAGGCAACATAATTCCCAAGGTTTGGGTACAAAAGATCATGCAGGATTTTTGTGTCAACTGTGGGGTTCAGGTTTCAGGGTCCAATCTCTGTTGTGGTGGTGTGGATTTAAACCTTTAACCCTGAAACCACCCCAAACCCTCCTGGCACCTCAGGATTTTAGGAGCGTTTAGTCTCAAGCATTTCCTGGGCATCAGACACTAGACCCGAAACCGCTACACCTCACCCCCCTGAACCCTAACCGCCTAAAAAACCTTATCCGTAAAGCCCACACCGTCAGGAATTGGATGGAGACCTCAGTCGGGTCCACTTCTGCCACGCCACGCCCCTCCGCGTTGAGCAAGAAACCATGATGTTCTTTGTGTGCAGCAAGCGTCGCATCACATCCAGAACCTGGACTTCAGGGCTTAGGATTTAGGGGTGAGCATTGGTTTGTTCGGGTTGAGGGCAAGAGAATGAAGGCAAGACTGACAAACATGTCAACGAACTTGCGCATCAGAACCTCGAATGCCAAGACCTCACCCCGGCTGCCGAAGAAAAGTACTCCCCCACGCCCTTGAGTACGAAGTCTAAGAAAAAGGAAGCCTTAGGGTTAGTGAGCAGTTTAGGGTTCAGGTTTTAGGAATGAGAGTGAGTGAGCAGTTTTGATGTAAGGGTTCAGGCTTCATGCGAAAGCGTAAGTTTCATTTGTGATCATTTGCAGCTGGTGGCTATTTCTGAAGGGATGTGGGCGGGGTTGACTGCTTTTGCAGCTAATGGAAAAGAAAATGGCAGCTATGACATTTCTGGGACTTACGCATGGGTTACTACAGGGATCCATTTCCTAGTCCCGACTAACCCAGAAACCTAGACCCTAACTACTGCAGTAAAAGGGCTCCCACTCTTTGCTGGGATCAAACGCAAGCAATGGAACTCGGCCCCTCTATCCAGCAAATAGAGGTTTCCAAGAGTCACAACCCCTTTTTGGGAGTATGCATAAACAGGATTATTGCACATTGGGGTGGATACTGGGGTCCCGCTATTTATGGAAACTACCAAATGGCACACCTTGCACCCCCAGTTCAAGACGGTTATAGTACTGACCAGGAATGAAGCATCGCCAAATTGTTGGAAGCTCTTTTCATCCCACGATTCCCGCCTAACGTTTCAGAGACATTAATCCAGTTCAGAACACATGGTACTTTACCCAAACAGGGGACCCCAATATAGACCCCCAAACTACTATAATCCTAATTAAGGGGACCCCCAAAATGGTACCCTAATTTTCGGAAACCCAAAACCCTAATCCCTAAACCCCAGATTCCTCTACATACCCTACATAATCCCTAAGTCCCCTTTAGAGGAAAACCCTCCGCATGTCTTCTTTTTGTTCCGCATATCGCTCTGTGAGAATGATTGGATTGAGGGGAGCCTGAATCAGAGATCCCTCTATGGAACGTGGTTTAGGGTTTAGGGACGTCTAGGATAGGACTTTTGGTGTTGCTAGGTCCTGGCGTGGATACCACAAATCCTGCATTACACTTGGAGTCATGCAGGTTTTTGGGTATCCACCGTATGTATTAGGAGCCCCGAACTCCAATTTGAGACATTGCCTTACGGGAGCTTGTCATGTTCAAAACGTAGGCGAAAGCTCAAAGAAAAGCACGGTTTGTTCTCAAAACTATTCGCCCTTTCTATGGATTATGTTCCGGCACCTAGTATGTGGGGGTACCAATAAATAGGACCCTAATTTTGGGAACTACCTACATGATGGGCAGAACCGTAACCCTAAACCCTAAACCCCTAAACCCTGAACCCTAAACCCTCAACCCTAAACGAACATTTCTTATACTTGCTCCCACTCGAGAATCCTTTGGAGGGATGTAGACTAAGAGCCGCGAATTCCTAAACGCTACTTGGAGCGTCCGGGGGACTTAGTAAGTATAGTCCCCCTTAAGTAGATAGAAGATGGGTATATGGGGATCTTATTATAATATACCCAAAGCCATATTGTATCTACTTAAGGCGGACTATAGGTTAATAACCCATATAACCCATATAGTAAGCCCA